TTAAACACGTACACATATGACTCTTCTAAATAATAACTTTCGGTTGGCAATAATCCAGAAAAAAACTGCCACATTACTGATAAATACTAGGTCCACTTTGCATCCCGGTTTCCTCAATAGTGACTCGGTGTTTTCCCACAGCATAGGCCAATTTTGAAAACCAAGGGGTTTAATGTTTCACTCAGTCTCTTTGAAGAATAAGCAAAACGCAGGCCCCAGTGAGAATTGAACTCACGACCCCTGGTTTACGAAACCAGTGCTCTAACCCCTGAGCTATGGAGCCAGTTGGCTACAGTTTCATGCAAACCTCTTGAGGTGAGAACACAATTGAGGAAACATATTACAAAACCAAAAATCTGGCTCTCTGAGGAACTGGTGACCGATAAAACGACTGTTTTATCGCACACACACTTTAAAAGTTATTCAAACAAGTAAACTCCTAAGTTAGTTGTTGCCTAAAACAATGCCACACCTGTACCAAGTCAGTGCTACCGTGCCCCCTGCTGTTTGCTATTAGCATTGCTGAAATCTTAAAAGAACAGCCTCTCGATTTGTCAATATGGCCGAAGTAGGATGCAAAACTACACAGGCCCCAGCGAGAATTTAACTCGCGACCCATGGCTTACAAAATCAGTGCCCTAACCACTGAGCTATGGAGCCACTCATTTTCCACACCTGCAAATTCAGTGTTAAAAAGCTCACAAAACCTGTTACTGCAAGATGGCACCAATGCCTCAACTAAGAAGTTTATACAGGTAGGAACAGTTCCACACTGCCCAACAGGGATTATTTTTCTGTCTGTCGTGCATAGCCATGCCCTCGATTTGTATTTGATAGAGCGCTTCGGGCGGGCTCAGCACCACGTGACGTGCTGCCACACGCAGCTTGCGCCGCGTGACACGGATCGCACGAATGCGCTGTCCAACCAAGTTCCTACCTGCCCACTCCGAAGGAACGTGTTTGCGATGTGGCCAAAAACGACTAATTGCGTAACACAGCTTCATGTAAACTTGACCATGTTAGCGGCTCATGACTTGGGAAGTTTGAATTTAAACACGTACACATATGACTCTTCTAAATAATAACTTTCGGTTGGCAATAATCCAGAAAAAAACTGCCACATTACTGATAAATACTAGGTCCACTTTGCATCCCGGTTTCCTCAATAGTGACTCGGTAATCTCCCACAGCATAGGCCAATTTTGAAAACCAAGGGGTTTAATGTTTCACTCAGTCTCTTTGAAGAATAAGCAAAATGCAAGCCGCAGTGAGAATTGAACTGACGACCCCTGGTTTACAAAACCAGTGCTCTAACCACTGAGCTATGGAGCCAGTTGGCTGCAGTTTCATGCAAACCTCTTGAGGTGAGAACACAATTGAGGAAACATATCACAAAACCAAAAACCTGGCTCTCTGAGGAACTGGTGACCGATAAAACGACTGTTTTATCGCACACACACTTTAAAAGTTATTCAAACAAGTAAACTCATAAGTTAGTTGTTGCCCAAAACAATGCCACACCTGTACCAAGTCAGTGCTACCGTGCCCCCTGCTGTTTCTTATTAGCATTGCTGAAATCTTAAAAGAACCTCTCGATTTGTCAATATGGCCGAAGTAGGATGCAAAACTACACAGGCCCCAGCGTGAATTTAACTCACGACCCATGGCTTACAAGACCAGTGCCCTAACCACTGAGCTATGGAGCCACTCATTTTCCACACCTGCAAATTCAGTGCTAAAAAGCTCACAAAACCTGTTACTGCAAGATGGCACCAATGCCTCAACTGAGAAGTTTATACAGGTACGAACCAGAGGTGTGGACTCGAGTCATGTGACTTGGACTCGAGTCAGACTCGAGTCATGAATTTGATGACTTCAGACTCGACTTGGACTTGCATAACAATGACTTTGTCCCACCTCTGAGGTGTGGACTCGAGTCATGTGACTTGGACTCGAGTCAGACTCGAGTCATGAATTTGATGACTTCAGACTCGACTTGGACTTGCATAACAATGACTTTGTCCCACCTCTGGTAGGAACAGTTCCACACTGCCCACCAGGGATTGTCTGTCGTGCATAGCCACGCCCTCGATTTGTATTTGATAGAGCGCTTCAGGCGGGCTCAGCACCACATGACGTGCTGCCACACGCAGCTTGCGCCGCGTGACACGGATCGCACGAATGCGCTGTCCAACCAAGTTCCTACCTGCCCACTTCGAAGGAACGTGTTTGCGATGTGGCCAAAAACGACTAATTGCGTAACACAGCTTCATGTAAACTTGACCATGTTAGCGACTCATGACTTGGGAAGTTTGAATTTAAACACGTACACATATGACACTTCTAAATAATAACTTTCGGTTGGCAATAATCCAGAAAAAAACTGCCACATTACTGATAAATACTAGGTCCACTTTGCATCTCGGTTTCCTCAATAGTGACTCGGTGCTCTCCCACAGCATAGGACAATTTTGAAAACCAAGGAGTTTAATGTTTCACTCAGTCTCTTTGAAGAATAAGCAAAACGCAGGCCCCAGTGAGAATTGAACTCACGACCCCTGGTTTACGAAACCAGTGCTCTAACCCCTGAGCTATGGAGCCAGTTGGCTACAGTTTCATGCAAACCTCTTGAGGTGAGAACACAATTGAGGAAACATATCACAAAACCAAAAATCTGGCTCTCTGAGGAACTGGTGACCGATAAAACGACTGTTTTATCGCACCCACACTTTAAAAGTTATTCAAACAAGTAAACTCCTAAGTTAGTTGTTGCCTAAAACAATGCCACACCTGTATCAAGTCAGTGCTACCGTGCCCCCTGCTGTTTCCTATTAGCATTGCTGAAATCTTAAAAGAACAGCCTCTCGATTTGTCAATATGGCCGAAGTAGGATGCAAAACTACACAGGCCCCAGCGAGAATTTAACTCGCGACCCATGGCTTACAAAATCAGTGCCCTAACCACTGAGCTATGGAGCCACTCATTTTCCACACCTGCAAATTCAGTGTTAAAAAGCTCACAAAACCTGTTACTGCAAGATGGCACCAATGCCTCAACTAAGAAGTTTATACAGGTAGGAACAGTTCCACACTGCCCAACAGGGATTATTTTTTGTCTGCCGTGCATAGCCATGCCCTCGATTTGTATTTGATAGAGCGCTTCGGGCGGGCTCAGCACCACGTGACATGCTGCCACACGCAGCTTGCGCCGCGTGACACGGATCGCACGAATGCGCTGTCCAACCAAGTTCCTACCTGCCCACTTCGAAGGAACGTGTTTGCGATGTGGCCAAAAACGACTAATTGCGTAACACAGCTTCATGTAAACTTGGCCATGTTAGCGACTCATGACTTGGGAAGTTTGAATTTAAACACGTACACATATGACACTTCTAAATAATAACTTTCGGTTGGCAATAATCCAGAAAAAACTGCCACATTACTGATAAATACTAGGTCCCCTTTGCATCCCGGTTTCCTCAATAGTGACTCGGTGCTCTCCCACAGCATAGGCCAATTTTGAAAAACAGGGGGTTTAATGTTTCACTCAGTCTCTTTGAAGAATAAGCAAAACGCAGGCCCCAGTGAGAATTGAACTCACAACCCCTGGTTTTACGAAACCAGTGCTCTAACCCCTGAGCTATGGAGCCAGTTGGCTACAGTTTCATGCAAACCTCTTGAGGTGAGAACACAATTGAGGAAACATATCACAAAACCAAAAATCTGGCTCTCTAAGGAACTGGTGACCGATAAAACGACTGTTTTATCGCACACACACTTTAAAAGTTATTCAAACAAGTAAACTCCGAAGTTAGTTGTTGCCCAAAACAATGCCACACCTGTACCAAGTCATTGCTACCGTGCCCCCTGCTGTTTCTAATTAGCATTGCTGAAATCTTAAAAGAACAGCCTCTCGATTTGTCAATTTTGCCGAAGCAGGATGCAAAACTACACAGGCCCCAGCGAGAATTGAACTCACGACCCCTGGTTTACAAGACCAGTGCTCTAACCACTGAGCTATGGAGCCACTCATTTTCTGCAACTGCAAATTCAGTGTTAAAAAGCTCACAAAACCTGTTACTGCAAGATGGCACCAATGCCTCAATTGAGAAGTGTATACAGGCAGGAACAGTTCCACACTGCCCACCAGGGATTATTTGTCTGTCTGTCGTGCATAGCCACGCCCTCGATTTGTATTTGATAGAGCGCTTCGGGCGGGCTCAGCACCACGTGACGTGCTGCCACACGCAGCTTGCGCCGCGTGACACGGATCGCACGAATGCGCTGTCCAACCAAGTTCCTACCTGCCCACTCCGAAGGAACGTGTTTGCGATGTGGCCAAAAACGACTAATTGCGTAACACAGCTTCATGTAAACTTGGCCATGTTAGCGACTCATGACTTGGGAAGTTTGAATTTAAACACGTACACATATGACACTTCTAAATAATAACTTTCGGTTGGCAATAATCCAGAAAAAACTGCCACATTACTGATAAATACTAGGTCCCCTTTGCATCCCGGTTTCCTCAATAGTGACTCGGTGCTCTCCCACATCATAGGCCAATTTTGAAAAACAGGGGGTTTAATGTTTCACTCAGTCTCTTTGAAGAATAAGCAAAACGCAGGCCCCAGTGAGAATTGAACTCACGACCCCTGGTTTACAAAACCAGTGCTCTAACCCCTGAGCTATGGAGCCAGTTGGCTACAGCTTCATGCAAACCTCTTGAGGTGAGAACACAATTGAGGAAACATATCACAAAACCAAAAACCTGGCTCTCTAAGGAACTGGTGATCGATAAAACGACTGTTTTATCGCACACACACTTTAAAAGTTATTCAAACAAGTAAACTCCTAAGTTAGTTGTTGCCCAAAACAATGCCACACCTGTACCAAGTCAGTGCTACCGTGCCCCTGCTGTTTCTTATTAGCATCGCTGAAATCTTAAAAGAACAGCCTCTCGATTTGTCAATATGGCCGAAGTACCATGCAAAACTACACAGGCCCCAGCGAGAATTTAACTCACGACCCATGGCTTACAAGACCAGTGCCCTAACCACTGAGCTATGGAGCCACTCATTTTCCACACCTGCAAATTCAGTGTTAAAAAGCTCACAAAACCTGTTACTGCAAGATGGCACCAATGCCTCAACTGAGAAGTGTATACAGGTAGGAACAGTTCCACACTGCCCACCAGGGATTGTCTGTCTGTCGTGCATAGCCACGCCCTCGATTTGTATTTGATAGAGCGCTTCGGGCGGGCTCAGCACCACGTAACGTGCTGCCACACGCAGCTTGCGCCGCGTGACACGGATCGCACGAATGCGCTGTCCAACCAAGTTCCTACCTGCCCACTCCGAAGGAACGTGTTTGCGATGTGGCCAAAAACGACTAATTGCGTAACATAGCTTCATGTAAACTTGACCATGTTAGCGACTCATGACTTGAGAAGTTTGAATTTAAACACGTACACATGACACTTCTAAATAATAACTTTCGGTTGGCAATAATCCAGAAAAAAACTCCCACATCACTGATAAATACTAAGTCCACTTTGCATCCCGGTTTCCTCAATAGTGACTCGGTGCTCTCCCACAGCATAGGCCAATTTTGAAAACCAAGGGGTTTAATGTTTCACTCAGTCTCTTTGAAGAATAAGCAAAACGCAGGCCCCAGTGAGAATTGAACTCACGACCCCTAGTTTACGAAACCAGTACTCTAACCCCTTAGCTATGGAGCCAGTTGGCTACAGTTTCATGCAAACCTCTTGAGGTGAGAACACAATTGAGGAAACATATCACAAAACCACAAACCTGGCTCTCTGAGGAACTGGTGACCGATAAAACGACTGTTTTATCGCACACACACTTTAAAAGTTATTCAAACAAGTAAACCCCTAAGTTAGTTGTTGCCCAAAACAATGCCACACCTGTACCAAGTCAGTGCTACCGTGCCCCCTGCTGTTTATTATTAGCATTGCTGAAATCTTAAAAGAATAGCCTCTCGATTTGTCAATATGGCCGAAGTCGGATGCAAAACTGCACAGGCCCCAGCGAGAATTTATCTCACGACCCATGGCTTACAAGACCAGTGCCCTAACCAATGAGCTATGGAGCCACTCATTTTTCACACCTGCAAATTCAGTGTTAAAAAGCTCACAAAACCTGTTACTGCAAGATGGCACCAATGCCTCAACTGAGAAGCTTATACAGGTAGGAACAGTTCCACACTGCCCACCAGGGATTGTCTGTCGTGCATAGCCACGCCCTCGATTTGTATTTGATAGAGCGCTTCGGGCGGGCTCAGCACCACGTGACGTGCTGCCACACGCAGCTTGCGCCGCGTGACACGGATCGCACGAATGCGCTGTCCAACCAAGTTCCTACCTGCCCACTCCGAAGGAACGTGTTTGCGATGTGGCCAAAGACGACTAATTGCGTAACACAGCTTCATGTAAACTTGGCCATGTTAGCGACTCATGACTTGAGAAGTTTGAATTTAAACACGTACACATATGACACTTCTAAAGAATAACTTTCAGGTGGCAATAATCCAGAAAAAACTTCCACATTACTGTGAAATACTTGGTCCAATTTGCTTCCCGGTTTCCTTAATAGTGACTCGGTGCTCTCCCACAGCATATGCCAATTTTGAAAACCAAGGGTTTGAATGTTTCACTCAGTCTCTTTGAAGAAGCAAAGCGATGACCCCTGTCAGAATTGAACTCACGACCCCTGGTTTACAAAACCAGTAGTCTAACCCCTGAGCTATAGAGGCACTCCTTTGTAACACCTTCATATTCAGTATTTAAAATCTCACTAAACCTGTTAATACACGATGGCATCGAATTACTTAAGTGAGAAGTTAATTGCTATGCGATCATATAATTAGAAATTGTGTATAACAGCTTCACGTAAACCAGACCATCTGACCAATTAATGAGGAAAATTCAACACCGGAAATTGTGCGACATCAGTTTCACGAATACATGGCTCTCCTGAAAACTCATAACCTGGGAAGTTTTAATTATAAATACACATGCACCCACCACCAATAAAAAGTCAGATGAAGTTCAAAGGGATAACTGTTTACGTGCCATTTATTATGTTAAAACTGCCACATTAATAGTAAATGCGAGTGCTATGGCCTCTCGTGTAATAAATTGACCTTATGGCGGTATAATGTCCGTGATGCAGTCATTTTTAGTCTGTTGATGGTCGATGCGGCAATCGACTCATCTCAACAAGCTGTACACGATGCACTATACAAAGTTGTATTTTTCGATCACGGATTTTTTTATGCTGTTTGGCGTTTCGACATCGCGGAGTAGCACTGATTTCGGATTGATTGGTACCCCAGTCACGGAGTTAAGTACAACCCTGGAAAAAATAGTGTCCTAAAAATAAAATATTTAATTGCCTCGGCCATTTTGTATTATTTGCTACCCCGAGGTACCGCCTAAGGATAAAATTGTTACTAAGTGTTCTCACACCTTGGGACAATTTATTTTTAAAAGCACTGTTATTTTGAAAAAACTAAATCTTACAGGGACAATGAAAAACTCACAACCCCTTGTTTACAAAGCCAGTGCTCTAACCGCTGAGCTATGGAGCCATTTTGCTACAATTCCATTTCAAAAATACACGTGCACACATAAAAATTACAAGTTACATTCAATTTCGATTTAAAGCTTTCGTGACTGCAGGGATTCATCTTCTTGGTTCTTTCGGTAAAGTCACGTAGAAGGGAAGTAATAAAATAATAAAAATAAAACATAATAAAACAATTCTCACGACGTTTCGGCCACAACGCAAGCAGCCGTCCTCAGGTGAAAACCAGGTCCGTCGAGGCGACAGAGTCTGAATGAAACAGCACACGAGCTTGGAGCATATATATAAGCTGGGCGCATTGACAAAGGAATTTGCATATCAAAAGGAATTTAGCATTTTCCATAAATATGCTAAATTCCTTTTGATATGCAAATTCCTTTGTCAATGCGCCCAGCTTATATATATGCTCCAAGCTCGTGTGCTGTTTCATTCAGACTCTGTCGCCTCGACGGACCTGGTTTTCACCTGAGGACGGCTGCTTGCGTTGTGGCCGAAACGTCGTGAGAATTGTTTTATTATGTTTTATTTTTATTATTTTATTACTTCCCTTCTACGTGACTTTACCGAAAGAACCAAGAAGAAGTTACATTCAAACAAGTAACCTCTAAGTTATTAGCATTCCAAATTTATATCACGTTATTACAAAATAATTGCTAACGTGCCTGCCCGCTGTATGAATCAACAACAGGTGCTCAATATTACCAAAGTAGGATGCAAAACTACAGAGGCCCCAGCGAGAATTTAACTCATGACCCCCTTGTTTACAAGACCAGTGGTCTATCCAGAGCTATGAAGCCAATCCAATACAGAGCCTTCAGAATCATTCTTTTTCACTATTTAAATATTCAATGAACCTGTTAATGGGAGATGGCACCAATTCCTCAAGTAAGAAGCGAATTGCTGTGGCAGTATAATCATAAAGAAGCCCTAAAAGCACATTTACGTCAATAATCCAAACTTCAGTAACACTTGAGACACCTACAAAGTACACAGCTACTGTGCTGGACGTGGCGGAGATGACATGTTTGTAATCCAGAACTTGAAGGTTGGGTAGTGAATCTCGATTGCGTCATGTTCAGGTGACACCCATCTGCAGGAATAGAAAATGCCAATAAGAGGCAGTACAACAAATAGGATTAAACAGGCTATGTGTCAAGGAGCATACACCATCACTTAAACTCGGGTCATCCTCACAGCGGCTTCTGGCTAACCATCGAACAAAGACAGTCACTGCATTGCACGCTTTAAGATGCCCTTCAACAGTCGTCCGGAGCGCTTTCTTTCTAACAGTTTTTTGTGTTTAGTTTGTTGTCCTTCCCTCGAATCTCCGACTAGCATTGTTGGCTACATACGGTGCGAAAGAAGTTCAACATACATACACATACGAGTGTTCTTCTCTGGTATGTGTCGATATTCTTCAATCACTCCTGCTACTTGAAGCAATATTCAAAAACGGAAATGGCCTCATAGACGTATGGTGTAAAACATCTTGAGATTCATTGTAGCTTTCCTGGAAAAAAATATTTGTAAATTATAGTTTGTTAAAACTCATTGCCATACATTAAACACATTCCATTGCTTAACTCATATGCTCCAATTTATGAAGAATTATGCTAAAAACTGTTCTCAGGAACTTGACATATGCCAAGTGACAACCTTGGCACCATATTTTCACCTAATCAAAAACAAACAAAATACTAGAACTGTGTTTAATCTACTGGACAGGAAAACCACTTTTAAATATTTGTATACTATGTTCTAGGTTCTGTAACACAGACTGTTACCAGCCTCATTATGCCAATCGGAGCAGCAACACGTAAAATGACAGGGGGTGAAACACGAAAGCGCTGGGAATTTGGCAATACGTGTGCTCAGCAAAGCACGGATCATGAGAAGAGCTCACAATCGCCCTTGGCACTGTCACTCACCCTCCACCACCCTCGAACTCATTATTGAGAAATTGAGACAGTTGCGGGTGGCTCGAGGTGGCATGGCTCAGCTGTACGATAGGGTTCAAAAGACCACTTCAGGCAACACACATCTCCGCTGTCACACGTACAATGTGATAAACAAAAACTTTGCCAGAATTGTCATTAATAATGCAGCATAAATAAAATAAAGTATGCTGCTGAATTACCCAGACGCCGAGAAAGAGGAACACATGGATCAAGAGAAAAACATACACAATTAATATATATAGATATCATACTGGCTTTTTAAAGTATGTAACTGGGCTTTGGCAGAATACTATGCTAGAAGAGATTGCCGATAGATGATAATGATGAAAGAATGGTAGTAATTATGAAAGAATGCGAGGATGACCACCCTGCAGATACTGTGATGAGTTCATATGATGTTAAGAAATGAGATTGTGATAACACAGAACGAAGATAGATGAAGGATGGGGAGGCTTTTATCCAGCAGTGGATAGACCATGACTGAAGACGATAAAACATGACAGGGG